CATGCTCACAGGTGTACACACGGGTGCTCACACACACAAACTACACCCTTTTTGGCTCCTACCTCAAAGCACACTGTGCGCTGTCGATCTTACGTGCTGCACAATAATGTTTAATATTTAGTATTTACTGTCATATTCCCATATATCATTGTGATGTTGTTTATTATGTTGCTCTTTTTTTTCTTCTACTTGTTTTCTTTTTTCTTTCTCAACAGGTGATCCAGGTGATTGATAAATGTATCTTTTTTTTGTCTGCTTATTTTGTTGGTTTTTGCCCTTTATCCCCGTCCCTCTTCCCAGCTGTTTTTCTTTCCCTTTCTTTCTCCCCTTTCTTTTCGCCAGCAAAAAAACAACAAAAAACAAAAACAAAAAAAACAAAAAAAAAAAAATAAACAAAAAAGGAAAGCAGAGCCTGTGGAACACAAAACAAATAAATAAATACAAATAAAAAAAACCACTCTGTTGTTCAGTCTCCTCACACATGCGAAATAAATAATACAAAGTCTTTGGATTTAAACTTACTTAATATTTTGTCGATCATCATCTTCTCCAAGACTCTTCTCTGAAGGTTTTTCACGTGTTCTGAAACATTTATCTGTGCTTGTGGAAGTTGCTGGGGGTCTGGCAGTGCATTCTGAGCTCTAGAGCAAAGTCACAATTTTTACTCACAATATACTACTCTTGTGCAATTGGTGCACTGAAGATATTACTGTAACTATATTCAACTCTCATGTCCCTAACGACTGATGATGTATTTTTAAACAAATAGAAGCACAAGAAATTAAAATTACACATACTAACCTTACCAATGCAGTTCTAAAGTTCAGCAAATAAAAAAGAACAGTATTAGACATTATTTTGTGTGCATTTAATCTTTGTTATACTTTGAATAATTACCTGCATGAATGAGCTATTAGGTCCTAAAAGCTTTTCTAGGTCTTTCACAGTGTCAGAGAGTGAAAGGATGTCTCTGCGGAGATCTGTCAACTTCTGTATAGTATTAATCTTTCGAGTCTCCTCTTCTTTTAATGCTGCTATTCTGGCTTCTTCCTCTCTCCCCAGGAAGAGTCTAAGCTTCTCAAAGTCCTCCCGAATCTTCTTCTCTGTGTCATTCCTCTGAGTCTGTTACAGAAAAAAACAACCTGTCATCTTCTTAAGCTCTTAACATGTTTAAGATTTAACAAGCCAAAATTCAACAGGTACCTTAATATGTTCAGTCGATGAGTTGCACACTTGCTTGAATCTTTCAAAAGCTATCTGCTTTCCCATGACATTCTTGGAAAAACTCTGAAATAAAAGTACTCCTTCAATCAAAAGAACAAGAAAGCACTGAAAAAAAAAAAGATCTGTGGGTGTGTCTCAATCAGAAATGCAAGTTTAAGTACAAATTACATACACCCTTCTATCATAATTTTAGGCGCAACAAAGAATTTAATGCAATTTAGCCCAGTCAATAGATAAAAGTGTCTTCACCTGGTGTGGCTCTGATGGGACATTTCTGTGTCCTTCTGATGGATCAGTGAGCCTTCCTTGTTTGTGTCTTTCACTCAAACTCTTCAGAACAAAATTAGACGGAGGTTCAGGATTGTAGATGACTTGACGACAGATTGAGCATTTTTTATCTTTTTTCACTCTCCAGTGGTCTTGCACACAGTCCTTACAGAAGCTGTGGCCACACTGCAGCGTCACAGGTTCAGTGAAAATACATAAGCAAATTGGACAAGATATATCATCAGTGACAGATGATTCTTGTCCACTCTTTGTGATGATTTCCAATTCTTCATCACTTGACTTGTTTTCTTCCATTATGTTGGAGAATGACTTTTCTTTTTTCTTATTCTTAAAGTCGAGTTCTTTAGGTATGACTGTTTTGGGCATATGGAGTGTAGGATTAGAAGGTGTCCGGCGTGATTTTTCTGCAAATGGCAAAATTGTTAACAATCTTAAGACACTTCTTAGTTACAGCTCGTTAAAACAAAACATTACAAATGAATTAAGATTTACATTTTTTGTATGATGTGGAAATATATATATATATAGCAGTTAAACTGCAATATCATGGCATTTTACCTTCGGTTAACTTTATTGCGAGGTCATTGAACTTCATCCTAAAGAAAATGTCGATTGTAACCTCTACAGCACCATCTTTGCTGTAAACTTGCACCAGCTTGTCAACAGTGTCTTCTCTGGTAGCATTCTCCAGCTGGAACCTCAAGATAGGTCGGGATCCTTCTCTCATGTTCAGAGCCAAGTACCACTGAAAGCGCTTTAGCTCAGAGTCACTTAGCTCATCCAGGTAATCCTTAAGCCATTTTTCATTTTGCACCAGAGTACACATCTTTAGCTGTCAAAAAGTCAGGTTGAAGAGGCAAAGTCTGTTGTTGAATGTCGTCTTCAGGTGTGTGGGCTGATGGTCATAGACAAGAAACGAGATGTTAGGATTCATTTATGAAAGAACACAAAAATATCCTCAAGAGCCTTATTTAATAGATGAAAGCTGAGCTGATGGCCGTGTTCAAAGGCAATTATTTGTGTGAAAAAGCAATCTGAAGATAACTTTTAATTATCCTACTCGATGAGGTGATGTGCAGGCTCAAAAAGTTTAAAATTTTTTATTATATAATAAATTAAATTGAATATATTTAAGTGATTGTATGGGATATGCTTAAATTAAATTGTTTCAATTCTGTATCGTTTATAAATGTCATCATAAAATGAGGTGAAGGTCTTGTAGTATCTCAAAGGCAAACCAAATAACTCTCTATTGACTACTTCAATTTAATTTTCTTCTATTTAAACAAGAATAAAAAATATTGGTGAATTGTCAACAATCATCACTCCATTATGTGTAATGTATTATGTTTAGAAAATAATTAAAAAACACTTTTTATATTTTGGGATAGCTGTGTCTTGTTCTGATCGTTATGCAGCACTTAAAAAAAAACAAAAAAACAAGACAACCAACCACACAAACTTTGACAAACTTTGTCAAAGGCACTGAATTTATGCACCCTGTGCGTTACAAAGCAGTTTATAACGGTGACATGGATCTGTCTCTTGTAACTCGTTATTTTTCAGTGTGTGTGTTTAAAGTTGTAAAGGGAGCATAATTTACCCCTATCACATTTGTTTTCTAAAATACGAGAATAGTTTTCAGTGTCTAAACTGAAACGACTAAAGTTGAAAGAAAACACAGATTTACAAATTTGCAGAAAAAAAAAGTGCAACACACAAAGATCCCAGGCGAATACGATCTAGTGTCTCACAAACTTGTGACTAATGTCGCTGCCATCTCTTTAGCTACTTAACGGGACATTGCAGCTTTCTAAACCGCAACCGTCTTCGCTACCTGCCCAATAATACCGAGATCCACACCAAAGGACATTTAGTATGTAACATACATGTAAGCCTTGGGACGAGGCACACCCCAGCCAGCATTACAATTCCTTAATAACATTGTTTGCTGCTCACCTCTGCTCCTTGGGCCAGCTCCCGTTTATTCACACGAATGAGGTCTAGAACTGTTCTTCCTTCCTCATTTCCTTTTATACAGTCATTGGCCAGACCTGATTTGTACGGTCCGATTTTGCACATGCGCAGTAAGGATCGGGGAGTCCTGATCCGTAACTATCTTTTTATTTTTCATTTTTGTCTACATTATATTGCAGTGTTTCATTACTGCAAACATTTTAACATATACTTATTATTGTTAACATCTAAACAGTTACTCTGACCCGTAACTATCGCAAAATGCTTTGAGCGGAAGTACCGATCAGGGTTTCCGGTACGGATCGGGTAGCAAAAAGCAAAAAACAAAAAAGTTGGTATATTTCAGTTGCACTGTCTCCTCGTGGGGTGTCTTAACTATTTACCCCGTACATATGGAATTTGCACGGGGTTTTGTACGCTTGCTGCAGTCTCACACTGACAGGAAAACCACAGCAGCTATGCATCACTTCAGCATAGTGCATCACAGCAAACTTTACCACAATACTGCAGAATAACTAGCACAGCCGACACCTCACTGCTTAGTACCCACAACTTCATTTCCTTCTTCTTTCTTTGTTTCTCTCTCTTTTTTTTTTTACATTTTAAAAATCCTGTCCCATCTACTTTAATTATGACCTGAATGCACTGTGTGCATGCGCAAGTCCTACGTCACTTCCTCTCTTTGCCAACATTTAGTAAAATTCTGTCTTTTGGATCTTTGCAGATAATCAGACCTAAATATGTTGCTTCATTTTTAACTGTTATATTACAAA